AACTTTCCATGCTCCGTAGAAAACGCCTTGCCAAAGAGCAACACCTTAGAAAAGCAAAACGCGAAATCAATATTTCCCATTGGACAGCAGTATACCCCGATCAATCTCCCATTAATTGTAGTTGGAGCTCGGTTTAACCAATCGCACACAAAATGTTACATAAGAAGGAAAAGGGTCAGTGTAAAAAGGTATGATTCGCTTCAAATATACTGATAGTCCACGTAAATGAAATAGACTGTTTGAGCAGGATAATATGGTTTGGAATTCGAGAAAACCTGCCTTTTCAGGCAGTTTCTAAAGCAACAGCATCTGATTGAAGAGGCTCTTAAGCAATATCATCTGAAATTCCATAATAAAGTTTTTCTATTAAATCTTATCTGTTACCGTACGAACAGTTCAGTCTCTGAACCAGGGCTTCCCAAACTTTTGCCATAATGGAACACTTTGCAACCCTAGAAATTTGAACGACACTTTGTTCATTTTCGAGTTGATTTCTACTGAACTTTTTTTAACACCTAAAAAAATCACAATTTTTTACGAGTAAGAGTATAAAGTATGAGTATTAACACTAGTTCAAGTTCAGCGGAACACAATTTGGGAAACTCTGCACCAGACACTGATATAGTTGATCACCTTTAGGGCTCATTTTCGGTTGGTCAAAGAATTCCGTGCATTCTGTGACAACAAAACACTAACAGTATTTTTTTCAACGACACGAAATCACTCCAGATCAACTATTCGAACTGGTTAAACAAACCACCTTCATTGTTTTAATTGACTTTGAATGGTGACCTGGATCCGTAAGAAAAATCCAAGCTAATAGGCCTAAATTGACTGCTGGGCTCAATAATTATAACTGAAATGCCCATTATAAGTAGTTTATTTGTTTTAAATTGTTATTATGAGGCTCATCCGAAACTTGGCCAGCCACTGCCAGCACGCTGAAACCACTCATATAGTTGAATGGGAATATTCGAAGAGGAAGAAACTGTGAGTCAAGAATAATTATAAGTCATTAACACCAGTAGTAAGCAAACAAATTCCAATATATTCCAACATTAGGTATGTTAACTTATGGATTCTTGACGAATACAGTGTTTTCCCGAACAAGTTTGGGACTCCAGTTGAATTATTTGCAAAGGTGTACAATGCAGAACAGGTATTTAAAGCAAATCAAATATAGCATTTATCCTTCAAAACATTAAAGGATATGAATTCTCTTTGTTGCTACAATTATTTATCTTACATCTGAAAATATTTGATTTATGTGTGGTCAAGCAAATTAATCGTCTAGACTTGGCAAGGTATAACCAGATAGCAATAGTGGTGTTGTGGTCTTTCCCTCAATTAATTTTGGAATTAAATCACGTTGATTCATCACAAGCATTGCCAAGATCTGACGTAGGATTCGTTTCTCCGTTTAATTTATTCAGTATAAAGAGCTTTCTTAATGCACCTTTGATTCGTCAATATGGCCTCAGAGAAGTTCACTTAAATTATTAAAATTCCACCATCAATGCGTATGCTTGAATTGAATGTTGAAAATTAATTTACTGATGTCGGTTAAAGTAGGAAGATTCGCTTTCAAGCTAGTGAACTTGAAAACGGTTGGAGGTACAACCAACCGAAACGTTCTAATAAAAAAGCATCTCTGACCAACAATAAACCAATCTTTCAACCCCAACGTTGCCTACCAATTTTAAACACAAAAAGTGCAATAAAATTATGTGGAAATGCTAAAGGACATGGTTTTATATCACACAGGGGTAAATTCGTGTATGGGACGCAATAACATAGAAAGCTAACTTAAACAGGACTAAAATAATTTAGGAATGTTTTTGTCTCTCAGTGTAGTATTTAAAACAATTCACTGCCATCAAAACAATAACAAGTGACGTAAATGAAAAACACAACCACTCAAATAATGCAGACACATCGACAAACAATCAAGCAAAAATTGGCAATAGATGGTTGCATTTTGCGAAAACGATAGTCGGCTGTTCCAAAACGCCTTCCAATTTCTTTAAGTAAAAGTAGGCTGCATTCCGTAAACTAAGCTGTTGTCTAAGCTTACATGGAGACTTTTTTTGCAGGTTTGATGTTGGTGTGGGTTTTTGCCTTGCCACGGTGTGCACTTAAGTTGTCAAACTGCCAATTAGTGGTACTACATTGACCCATAATTAAGCCAGTAAAAAAATTAAATATCGAATTTTATTTAAATAATTGCAAGATAGTAAGAGAATGAAAAATATTGAAAGATAACTGACAAAATCCATCCAACTCTAAACCGGACAATAATTATAACATTTCCTGGTTTAATTACGACTAACAAAATGCGAAAAATTATCAGTGGCATTGAAATGATTGCTGTTTTCTGGTGGACTGCAGCAGAAAAACAACTGATTAAGGCATATCAACTTTTCTAAGATCTGTCTTAGGCATTTTAACGGCGCTCATAACAGTTTTATTTGCATATAAGTATATGTACGTTTTCTGATGAAAATTGTATTGCACTTGTTTTGCTTGATAGTGTAAATTTCCTGCTCTTTTTGACCCGCAACTGGGTTACTGCTAGATTAAGCTATTTTGTCCGACAATAGCGAATATTTTCAGAGGTTCCTGTAAACCGGATCTTGCGTAATTTACGTCGTATTTGTTTTAACATCCGAAACAATACTGATATGAATAGAATTTAAACTCAATTTAAATAAATCACAAGTACCTACAACCACAATCTTTGCGGAACTGCCTGTGCATATAATAAATAAATAAATAAATGCCATTCCAATACATAAATTGTATATCAGCGCCAACACTGTACTCAAGCGCTTTGTCATCTTAAAGTTAAGATCAGACCGGTGGTTTGGTACCTGGGAACCTGGCCAAGGCGGATGCGTTTGCCAAAATACCTATTCAGATTAACAGTAATGTGGTCGATAGAGAACATCGACATCTCAATAATTTACTAATACTGTATTAAATTAATTCATATGCAATCGTTTATTAGAAACAATCAACAATAAATGTTTAGCAATGTAACTTTTATAAATTCATTAGATAACGAAACAATTACCTAAGAAACTGTGAAATTAAGTCCGAACAATTYAAATTAGAATTACGTTAGAWCCAGAACAGACACCATGAGACCAATGATGATCAATCAATGATGCCATCTGAAATTATTTCCGTTATTCCTTAATTATTCTTTAATTCTTCATTGTGCAAGCAGGATAAGTATTCAATAAATAGGTGATTGTTTGCTGACAAACAACCACCTATGATTTTTTATTTGTTTTGCGTTTTATTTACCTCACGCACAGCGCTAGATCTAGGAAGGGGCTACGGGGCTAGTCTATTTTTTTCTCAAAA